GGAAACCATGAATTGGCCTTTATAGTTCCGAGGAGTTCGTCGCCCGCTCATGCATAGAGGACAGCAGCTGCAGTCATTTTGAAATCACACCAGGTGCAACTTATTCAAAAGGCGACTGAGAGTTATGGAAAAAAGAAAATATCCCAGAACATGTCAAAACGTCCACAGAAACGTCTCGAACCACCTCTGCAGCATAAGGCCGTGTTCAGACAGAAAGCAGCACCGCGTGTGAAAATACACAGCCGCCTCCTTCATTTCAATGAGACCTCTGTGAGAGCTCTGGCCAAAGATTTGTACCTGGCTCAGCTTTTGCCACAGCCATAGAGTGTATATAAAGATGGACCAACCCTCCGTGATGTCATCCATAAGTTTTTCCAAACAGTGATTCTGAAGCTCATTGTGGTGGGTCCGAGCATCACCGTCTTGGCAGTGTCTGACTCCTCCTAGCTTCCAGCTCATCCAAAAATGAGCAGAGATGGAGTATGAGTAGAGCTGAGGCAGGCAATCCACTCTCCACTGTCACTCGAAAAGGTTACTTCTGTATTTATGCACAACTTCAAGCTTTAGTGCAATTTAAACAGGTGAGTTATATAAAAATTCACCTCCTGCACAGTTGTCATGAAAGGGGAAGTTAGCTATCGAGACCAAAACCATTATTTGTACCAGGCTCTAAACATGTTTAATTCTGCTGTATAGTTGAGCATTTTAACACTGGGCTCAGTGGGGTTTGACTCGCTTTTGGAGGCAGCCTCAAGTGGTCATTTGAGGAACTGCGGTTTTTACCATTTCTACATTGGCTTCATGTTTCAGCCCCAAAGGTTGCTGATTGGCCACAACACAACACTTGAGCTGTATGTGCTAAATCTGCTGTTTAAGTTGCAATCATTGGGATGGAGGATAAATTTACTGCCTCCAACTGTTGTTAACTGCTACATAGACATACAGTAATTAGCTCATTAATAAATATCTTGCTACCGTTTTAGTAATTGAAAAAATGTTTTCAGTCTTTATTCAAGAAAACATTAAGTTGTTCAAGGTTCCTGCATGCAAAGACTTGGGGTTTGTTTTTGCCACATATGACTAATTTTCCCTAATTTCCAACATTTTATAGACTAAGAATTCACTTAATTGTCTAGTTGCAGTCTTTTGGCATGTGACAAGCCTTCAAAATCTTTCACCTTTTACTCTGATCAGCCTTCTTGGAATCTGTTTCAGTGTCTCAAAGTTCCCTAAAGTTACATGTTTGTACTGGTTAAACCTCTTGCCATTTAAAGGCATTTCTGTTTCTGTTGCCGGTAGTCAGTGGTTCTTCTTCATTAATCTGTGCGTTTACAATTAGAAAGCTGAATGTGCCGTGTCGGATGGTGCATAGAGGTTTACAGGTTGACGTCTTTGGCATTTGCTACCTAGAAGGTAGATTTTCAGTTGACTATTCCTTGAACTTTTGCTGAAAGGGCCAACGCAGCCACTGATTCTACTGTGAATCATCTGCACACAACTGTACTCGAGCCCACTCAAATCCCGACACATGCTTTTTTAATCTGACCTGAAACCCTTCTTCACCATCATGTGTGATCCCTGCATCCTCTTTCCAGAGGCCATTTCAAATAGCACAAAGCCACGAAGCGGGAGCCACTGCTACAAAGTCTGTTTACCCTTGTTTGTTTAACGACACTCACAGAAAACAGCTCTTTGTTTACAAGGGATTACAGCATTTAAAACCAGAGCTTTTAGACCTGATTATTATATGCGTGTTTTTCCCAACCTGCCCAAGCTGATTATCCTACATGTTACAACCGGCGCCAGCTGATTTCTCTGTCCCGTCCAGCTGTTTGTGCAGCAGGGTGGCAAACTATTTTCAGAATAAAAGCGGATGTTCATTTGTAAGGCTTTATTGGGAGTAATTGGAAAACAGGCCAGGCAACGAAGCACGGCCTCTTTTTTGGCTTTCAGCGGTCATTATATAATCGCCAGCCAGGGCTCAACGTCATATTTTTCTCTTTCTAAATGTTTTGACATCAGGTGCTAATATAGCAGCCAAGCCACTGATACTCACCATCTGTTTACTCAGAGGACTGAAAGCACAGAAAAGAATTTCCTAGAAAAACACAGCTATAAAAGGTGTCAATAAATTAGCATTCGAAATGAATAACAAGACACGTCAACATTTAAATTAAGATCTTAAAAAAAACAAAAAAAACCTGTCTGGATGTTTAATTTAACACATCTGTTTTGGAAGTTTGAGATCTGGGTAAGTCCGGTTCCCCTGTATTCTAAATAATGCAGGTGCACACGGCGTATTTTTAGCATCATTCTACCTGATGTGCAACATGAAAGCCTCCCTGTCGTCCCCCCTTCTCCTCCCTCTCATTCACACCTCCATTAGCCTCCACTCTGCTTTGTGTCGGGGGGTCCAAGGAGAAAGATGCTTCTGTTTCTGAATGAAAGCTGCTCTCTGTCCAAAACAACATTGTCAGAACAAGGCAGACAGAGAGCAGAAGTTAATGCACTTTGTCAGCACTGGCAGGCTTCTGAGCCAAGAGCTATTAACTCTGAGAGGGAAAGGCATTTCCTCCTTGTAAATGCCATATTAAATTATTATTATTTCATTTGGTAACAGGGAAAAGCCCATCAGGGCTATATTGTTCAAGGTGAACAGGGAGTTGTAAATGGAGAGTCTGGGTTTTTCTAAAAGCCACCAAAGAGGGTGGGTTTTGGGGGGTATGGGAGTTAAAAGAGGAAGTGAGTATTGGCGTCATTGCAACCTAATGCGGTCATTGAGTCAAAAAAGCTGAGTGTCACACCTTGAAATAGTCCTATAAATTTAATTTTGACTACAACAACCAAATTTCCACAGCACCTTTGCTCGCCTCCACGTTCTATCTTCAGCGTGTTGAACGAGCCTTCAGGGTGCTTCTGCCAAATGAAAATGTGAATGAACAGTGGGGCCCGCCTGGATGTTTCTGCAGGTGGATCGGGCCCCGAGGACTTGCGGCTTGGCCTCGCTGGACGGGCCTCTGTGTAAAAGATACCCGGGCCAAAATGGCTGAGCGGGATATTCTCAGCATTTGGGTGACTGTGACCCCCCCATTTTTTTTACAGTGAAGCAGCTGCCAGAATGGGTCCACAGTGAGCAACGTGATACCCTGTAAATTTTACACGGAAGAAATCAGTGTCATTAAGACTGTCCATACATCAGGAACGTCAGACTTGTAACCGGGCCATTATCACTGCGTTACTACAAGCATGACGGCTGGCCACTCGCCTCAGATTGTTCAATTAATTCTGCTAGGAGATATAAAGCATTGGAGCTGAACAAATATCTACATTTATTGAAGTTTGCTAAACCTGCACAGTTCACATGCAGGTTACAATCACAGTTACTCTTTGAAATTCATTGTAAATTTCCAATCAGAGTCCTTTTGTTCCAGAAAGAGGCAGACAAAAGCAGACTTCATTTGTAGCTGGCGATGATTGATTTTGTTGGCCGAAAGGATATTTACCATGAGCAGATTTTATCAGCTGCAGACAGCTAGCTAATTAAGCTAACTATAGATTCGTGAGCTGCTTCTAAACATTGTTTCTGGCTGACTTTTTGTGTCAAACTGGAGCTGAAGCTGCACATTTCAGGCAACAAATCCTTTCCAATTTATGATACAAATAGACGACAGAATTTAGGAAAAAAGCTCTTATGTAAGCTATCTCTGGATAGCTTACATTCATATCTGTGTAGGGGGGACTTGATATAAGCTTCCTAAAATCAATTAAAAAGCTGATGTCATGGTGTCACATCCGGTTTATCCCCTCTTTTACTAACCCAGTATAATTTCTTAAGAAACTAACCGGGTTCCTAGGACGCTTAAAGAAATGAAAATCTTTGCGATCTTAAACAAAACACTACTCTTATGTGCTACACTACAATGAGCAGCTCTCACAAAACAACTGTCCATCAAGTCTCATCATTTGTTCTCCTTTCTAGTTTCTTCTAAAGACTCATCTTGAGTCATGTCTTTACTGCTAAGGGTCGGTTCATACTTTCTGCATCCATGTTTGCAGACCGACTTTGAAAGCGAACGCGCACATGGCTTTAATCGTACAACAGTCACTACGCACAAATGTGAAACACCAAACTGCCTGTCATACTGAACACAGAAAAACACCTGATGTTTCTGAAAGGCTGCGACTTTGCGTTTTTGACAGGATATAGCAGCTTGTTAGCATAGCGTATAGCACGGGATTTCTGGAGAACTTTAAACGTCCCGTTGTGTTTGGGCACCGTCGATGGAAAGCCTGTACAATTCAAAGCACTTTCAAAGTCCGACAGCAACCACTTCTGGTAATATGAAGGTGTGGATGACGGGGAATCTCCTTGTACAGTCTGTCCTCATCACAAGCATTCGCTCTACGCACCATTTGTTTTCCTGGCTGCATGTCTGCATGGTCACAAATTTCGGGCTGCGTGTGGACATCTGGAAAGGGGTTCACAAGGACGCTCACAGACTTGGGTGGATGATACAGTTTACGCCATGTGTACCCTTGCAGACATGCAGACGCAAAACTCTGTGGAGTTGGAGGGCCTTTGGGAAATGATGTTTGTTAAAGTCAGCTAAAAACATAAATTGAGAATGGTATAATTTGTGTATTTTTGTAATGAACATGCAGTGGTTTTCAACCCAAATGCAGGTTTTCAAATTAGAACAGCAACCTCTTGAGGGCAGGACACAACCCTAGTTTATTCCATTATGTCTGCTTAGACACTGTACCTACGTCTTATAATATTCGGGGCAACCCTGTACAATATCACTGTACTGCAATTAGCTTGCACATTGCTTCAACATGCATAGAAACCAAAAGCTTGACAGGCCTGGAGCATCCAGTTATAAGCACGTGTTGAGAGGAGAGCTCTAGCTAGCAGTCACTTTATAGATCAGTGGTAATGATCAGCTAACGTCTTCTGTCTCCTCTGTTGTCTAAACCTCCCTGTTGTCCTTCTCAAACAGGTAAACCAGGTTATGGCCCCAATGCAAGGCGGTCACGTGGCATTGTGGACGAGTGCTGCTTCCAAAGCTGTGAGCTGCGGCGCCTGGAGATGTACTGTGCACCTGCCAAGACTAGCAAGGCAGCTCGCTCTGTGCGTGCACAGCGCCACACAGACATGCCGAGAGCACCCAAGGTTAGTACCGCAGGGCACAAAGTGGACAAGGGCACAGAGCGTAGGACAGCACAGCAGCCAGACAAGACAAAAAACAAGAAGGTGAGCACAGCACCAAACAGATACACTCTAAAAAGGTTGAATCATCAGGACAGGATGGGATAGGATGGAGGTTTTGATAGTTGTCCGAGCATGCACACATAGAATCTAGAGAATGTTAAATAAACTGTTGAGCTAACAGTTGGACAGCTTAGCTTAGCATAAAGATTGGAAAGACTGGTCTTGCAGAGAACTTCAAATTGTTTATACATTTTTTGTACAGATTTACACACAAACTAAAACATGATATTTAGAGTGCTATTTTTTCCCTTTTAACTGATAATGGAGCCTAACATGCTAAAGGTCACTATTTTAGTCATATCGTTTACAAACAGATACTGAAACGTATGAACGTTACATGACAGCAGTTTTCCCATTTCCAGTCTTTATTCTAAGTTAAGGTAGCCAGCTAATAGCTGTAGTATGAACGCAAGAGTTTTATGAAATCACTCAGCTTATTAACCGTATTTTTCCTGAACTGTTATTTGAAGGGGTCACTGGGTTCAAGACTATGAGCAGTTTACTGCATAGCATTTGAAATGATTCCATCCAACTTAAGTGGCTTCATCTTTCTCCCACAGAGACCTTTACCTGGACATAGTCATTCATCCTTCAAGGTACGCATGTAAATCCACATTTATATTGATCATTTTATGTCATTTAAAGCTTTACCAAACACGCAACATTTCAAAAGCAGAACCAGCTTCATGGTGAAATCAGAGATTTATATAAATAATCTGAAACCTCTTGGGCAAATAAAGAAACTGTAATGTCTAAATGCAGACTCTGTCTCATTCTCAAGTTGTCAACCTACAGGAGAGTGTGATCCTTTTAAGATTCAACTGTGTGCTTTTTACCCTTTTCTCAAAAAAGAAAACCATTAGCAAGAGACGGAACTAAGTGGTTTTTGTGGTAGACCCACTGGCACTCCCGCTCCCCAGGCAGAATCTCCACTCTGCTACTGTACATTATGTTCTGAAATTCAGACGGCTCGCCATAACAGACTGACACATGCGAGGTCTGCAGATACAGCACGCATATCACGTTCAGTGTATCGACGTCTTCATGGGTTTGCATGTCTGGTTTCTGGTCTTGTTGCAGGAACCTTTCTTGTGTTTTTCTCTTTAGGTTGAGCTAAAATTAAAATTCCCGTTATTTTGTGACAGGGAATAAAAACTATAACGATAGTGCAGCTATTTTGTATGAAGATAAACCATTGTTAGACACGTGGAATCTAACATTAGCATTACTGTGTCAAAACTAGTTTGTAGGACATGCTATGCGACACATGCATCACTAACGGGTTTACAATCTGTATAGAACATGATGCAGCATCTCCAGCATCAATGTCACATATATTACTTACTGTTATTTCATAACCCTGCAGCCATACGCACAGTTTCCAACAACAAACACACAAAACTTTGTAGTATTCAACAAGTCTGAGGTTCTGGTTGTTTGTCCTACAAATTTTACAAGCGTCTGTCATAGTGAGCTTGGTTTCCTGATCAATCTGCTGCAAATCTTTTCTCAGATCTTTGTTTAGATGCTCAAGCACAAAATGGTGTCCAGTCAAGCTTTTTGTAACTCAACAAAATCTCCAAAATCAAACCAGTCCTGTCCTCCCATTGATGTACATAACATCAGACATGCATTTGCTTCGACTACTGCAGTGCACTCCACGCCGGCATCAGTCAGAGCTCGACTCCAACTGGTACAGAAAGCTGCTGCCCAGATTTTATCTGGCACTAAGCGATATGAGCATATTACTCCTGTGCTTGCCAACTTACGCTGGCTGCCTGTTACATTCCGCATTGATTTTAAAGATCTTTTCATCAAATTTAAAGCATTAAATGGCCTTGCTCCAAATTACATCGAGGACTTAAGAGCCTCTTACGTACCTGGGCGTAGACTCAGATCAGTGGATGGCTCTGCTGGTTGTTCCTGAGTCTTGGCTAGTGACCAAAAGTGATCAGGCTTTTGGTGTTAGAGCCCCCAAACAGTTTGCCTACTGAGATCAGCAACATCTCTAGTATCTCACAAATCTCTTCTTAAAACAGTCATGTAGCTGTTTTTCTGCTTTCATATTTGATCTCCAGTCACTTACCGTTAGCCAGTCAATACCATTAGCAATTTAACACATCAGTTAGCTAGCTAAGGTTAGCATTTGCTAGCATTACGTTTTTGATAGAACCCGGCTAATGCTGGATTTTTGAGGCCAAGACCAAAGCAAATTTTTAGAAAGTAAAAAATACGAGTTTATATTTTAGCCAATTTTGTTGATACATATAAAAACATGTATGTGTTGGAGTAACAGTGAGAATGGAAAATGATGAGGCCATTGATTACCAACTTTCCAGTAATGAATTTCACGAACTAGTTCGAAGCTTATCGCACCACTGTCTGCTCAGCTGTGGTCGGTACTCTGCTACATGCGCTGCAAACGATGCTAAGAGTGTTGAAAACAATGGAGTTAGATCTGCCCAATCTTATTTTTCTGCTTTATGTTCTCTTAAAACCTAATTTTCAGACTGGACAACATACAAGCCAATGCCAATATGTATCAAAAATATTGGCCAAATGAAATATCAGTGGGGCTCTACTTTTTGTTCATGTTTTTTTTTTTCACCTCCTGCTGAGTTATTGGCAGCTCCCACACTGTGTTGTGTCTGTCCCACTCCATAGACAGGAGGGGGCTCGCTAGCAGTGGCTGTCCCTGTTTTTTTTTTTTGGTTCCAGCTATGGTGACAGCAAATGAATAGACTGTCAAATACACACAGGGACAAGCAGTTCTGTAAACTCAGCATGTATGAGGAGCTCGAATCACAGATGGGACAAAACAACAACTAATGCTGGCTTCGGTTTTGAATGAGAAGTTGGAAGCACAGGCCTGTTTATGTTAAATTTAGGTTCACTAAAGCCCAAGTTGCTTATAATTCTGTTACATGTTACACAGAAGACAAAACAAACTAAGCAATCCTGTGTTTACCGTATACCTGCTGTGCATCTAAAAATGTGCTTTTTCTTTCGTTGCAGGAAGTGCATCAGAAAAACTCAAGTCGAGGCAGCACGGGGGGCAAAAATTACAGAATGTAGGGAAGGAGCGAATGGACAAATGCCCAGCGACTTGGGAAGAGAGAGGGGAGTGGCCTTACCTGGTACCCCTGTGGAATGGTTCACTGTAAAACAAAACAAAGAGGATGCTAGCAATGGCCCGAAAAGCTCTTCAAAATGATTTGACACCTGAGAGCTAAGTGGTGTTTAAGGGTTTGATGAGGGATCTTGTGATTATTTTATACACTGCACCATTCCATATCGGGAGGAATTCTTTGTTAATGCAATGTAACAGACTAGTTTAGCTGCTGAGACACGAACAAGAGCTTATTATACCTCCATGTGTGAGCTGCAGCATCCCCCCTGGCTCCAGGAAAGGTGGGAACGTATCTGGGCTTCAGCCAATCAGAGATCGGCAGGCTGTGGTTGAGAATGAGTGGTCCGTCCTGTCCCCTGAACTTTTGCGGAGGTAAATCCTTTTACTCTGAGAGAGTGGATTCATTCACTCCTTCGGTAAGACAGGATGCTTTGTCACCGGTCACATTTAACAGTTAGTTCCCCAGTTCGAAGCTGATATTTTACCTTCAGAATTTGTTTTCATTGCACCATGCATTACTGTGGATATTTTTAACATGTAAAATAAAGGTCTGCTTTAAAGACAAAGACCAGGTGGTTCATCATCAGACTTTAAACATTGTTGTAGTTATTTTACCTTGAGCCCGAGTCAAATCCCTACTAAGTGGAGTCGCTAGAAGCTTTGAGACCAATCCAAATCCCTCCTAAGCCCCAGGAAGTGTTGAGAACCTGAGGACTGAGTCTACAATCCAAACATTTCTCTAACAACAGATCAAGCACCATTAGAGAGGATTTTGAAGAAAGGGGGAAGCACAGTAGGTACTAGAAAAACAAGACTGTGGTTTTCAAAAAACAGAACAACAAATTAACCAGGAGCTAAATTGAATTAGAGATTTTTTTGGCCGGTCGGAGCTTGGTGCTCGTTTGGTTGTCAGAAATGGGTCATTTAGCGGATTCAAAGTGCATTTGGCGTACGTGAGTGGAACAAGTCAAATAGCGACAATCAGGCGAAATGTTTGTCGTCTGCATCTTTTTCACAATACGCAGCCCCGGCCAAATCCGATTCTTGTCAACAGTCCAGTTATGCGGTGATCAACATTTCAGCTTAAGTGGAGGCCTGTGTTCAAGGTTAAGCGCAAGTCATGAAAGTTTAGTTGCAGTGAGTCAGCAAGCGCTTAAAAAAAACAAAAAAAAACCTACCAGGATCAAAGAATGAAATCGTTTTCTTGCTCTCATGAGGAAAATGTTCCCAGAACTGTCACTATCCAAGCGAAATGACAGAAAGGCCGTAACAATAGCCTCACAAACGGGGATGTTTAATGATTGATCTTGGCCTGTGATATTTTGTTAGTTTAGGGAGGCCGAGAACTTTGCTACTATAGTTGTTGCTTGGACTGCGTTATCTGCCACGCTATGGCATCTGTTGCAAAGTCCACCAGAGAAACACGCAGATTAAACAATTTGGTAAATATTGCCAGCCAAAATGACAAGTCCTCTGGAGACCTGACACATACCAGTACACAAATACACATACAAAGCACCCACAGTGTAAATGAGAGTTGTGCAACCGTGAGCGAAGGTCAAGCACACAAATCACAAGTTTCATGAAAAGCCAATTCTGAGAAGTCCTTGCATGGGGACTGACAGTAACGGCTGTTTGTTCGAGCCTCCATCAAATCGCCCAAGACAACTCATCTCTGGCTTTGTCTCCTCTGCCTGTGTATAATCAAACAGTACTCCCATTATGTTAACCTATGCATTACTATCATTCATTGTACATGATGGTTTCATTTAACAAAACTGTATTAAGAATCCTATCCACTGTATAATGGTGCTATTTTGTAGTTTGTTACTTGCAAGAGATGGCTAAGACAGACTGATGGCAGGGCTTACATTGGAGGTCTTCCCTTTTGCACAGCCTTGTGGCCACCATTTTAATAGTGTTTTTATTTGTAAGCTGTTTCAATAAGGTAGTAGTGTAAGCGAGTAAATGTATCTGTGTGAAATCTGTGAATGCATGGAGAATTACGACAAAAAAAACAAAAAAAAGGAAAAAGAATATAACATGTTGTGGTCCCAAGAAGGCAAAATGCTATTTTTTCTACTGTTTTTAAATTATTTTCTCAATATAGATCCCTTATGCCAAATAACTTGACAAAAGTACTGTGAACTGTGATTCTTCCAATTGTATTGAGATTGTTAAAAGTCATGGTGTGCTTTTGTCTATCCGGAGGTGTGAGTGTGTGTGTGTGTTAGTGCACCTCACTGGAAGCCAAGGTACTGACTATTAAAATAACTTAAAGCGAGACTCCGCAACTTTTGCTAAACAGCGGCTACATGCAGGGCGTAAAGGACAATCATTACGCATCGAGTACACGCCATTATGTTTACCTGCGACATGCTACAATTTAGTCTAAGTAGGGAATTAAGTTTGCACCAGGCAAACCACTCCAATCAAACCACTCTTTAACAGTGTTTGTGTAATAACTCTCATTGCCAGAAGGGGGAGATAAAAGTTCCGCACTGCAGGTTTAAAATGTTCTGAATTAATGTTGGGAAAGACCACTGCCATTCTCATATCTGTCCGTTAGCCTCCTAGCTTAGCTTAGCTTAGCTTAGCTTAGCTTAGCGTGAAAATTATCAAAAGGAGGAAACAGTGAACCTCACTCTGTCCAAACATAGTCAACCTGTTAGCATTGCTAGAGCTCTCACATGAACTCAAAGTGACCCAAAATGTCTCATTTCTCCACAACAGCTTTTACAAACTACTTCAACGAGATGTATGTGTTAGCATGTGAGCTTTAGCGGACCTTGTTTTTAACCTTCAGCCTGAGCCAAGCCAGCTGGTTTCCTGATTCTAGGCTTCATGCTAAGCTAAGCTAACTGGGACCCCACTGTGGCTTCGTATTGACAGATATGAGAGTGGTGTTTATCATCCCACACATTAGCCTGCGCAAGATACTGGAAATATCAAATTAGACTGTAATGACAAAACCCTAGAGTGTATAGAAACAGTACAAGGGTGCGTTTATTTGCTCATGAATTCAATTTTTGACGCAATTTTTTTTTTCTACTCTCAAAAGTTCCATGGTCTCGCTTTAAGTCAAAGCCAGGAGTTTAATTTATTTTGTCCAAAACATTTGTTAGCAGCTCTCTCAATCAAAACTTACGTTTGAGATTTAATTTAACGGTGTGCTTTTCTCAATAATGAGGTGTTAAAATGGAAATTTGCTACATGCTTTAGTGTCTGTTCCTTACAAATTCTCTCATCGGTCGACCTGGCGACTGAAATGAAAAAGAAGCTGGTTGGAGAACGGCTCTGGTCCTCCCAGATCTTCAGATATACAGTACAAACCAAAGACTTTTTGATGCGAACAAAGCCTCACTCAGCATTGTTATGTCATAAACTAAACCTGTGACCAGTTCATTAAATATCAATTGATGCTATACCTGTCTCAACTGCACTGCAGCTACAATACGCCCTTCACACACTGTCTCTGGTACCTGAAATGCAGCTTGTGTATTAAAAAGTAAAGCGGACCAGACAGAAGTCCTTCGTTGTTTCTGGTGTATTCGGAGCGTTGATGCAGAAAGCAACCAACTTCAAACCGTCTGACTATGAATCATTCAAACATTTCAGTTTGTCAGTTGTTTGAAATAATCAATAAAGCCTAGAAAGTAAGAGTGTGTGACGACTCTATGAGGTGTTTAATGAGAAAATCTGATGTCCTGAAGCTCACTGTCCAAAAACTGTTTGATTACAGCGCTGTTATTTATGGTGCTCGATTGCCTTCTGTAGAAAAAAAAAATACTGACAAACTGTTCACCATTCCTGCTGAATAAACCACTTGTCAACATCACAAAAATGGCTGGAAAGTTCTTTCATGCAGCACGCACGTATACTGATCAAATCTCTGGGGAAGCATAATCCTGTAAAGACACCGTTCTCCCTGTTACACAACATCACACTGGTCGCTTCTATAGGGATTTTACAAGGAACCCTGGGGATTCAGACACACAAACACAAGATAATTACAAGTTTGTCCCTCTTAAATCTTTTAAGACATTTCGGCTATAGATAAAGCCGTAACTCGAGCCGAGGCTTTGTGCACCACCAAGCTGAGCGTGCTGGGTGTGCTGAATGACAAAGTGATACTTCCTAAGACGTGGCCGGGTTCTGCCAAAGCAAACAGAGCGGGGCGTGGTGCTCCCTGAGGCCAGAGCTGCATGTTCAGCTCTTTGGAGGATGCTCGGGAGTGACAGCGCCGAGCTCTAACTCACTCACTGTCAGCACTTTTTCAACAGGATGTATGCAGGGGCAACAATAAAAACCCTGATAAATTGGCTTTCTGGCTGACTCGCAGCAGACGCGGGCGGAGATCAAAATGTGGAGCAGCAGGGAAGGTTGGCGAGGCCCCGCTCATCCCGGCCATCTTGGATGTTATTTCATCCCCCTCTATGACTAATACAGAAATCAATTATCTCACCCTAATGGGCCAATTGCAGGTTGCAAGCTTGCAGGATTTAGAGTCAAATAAATCAGAGAGATTGTGTGTAAGGAGGCCCGGACTGTGGCGGGTAACCAAGCCATAACAAATACTCTAAGCCAATTAGGAAAGTGAATCTGTATGTACAGCATCGTTCAGTTGTAATTATTCTAAAACACAAACATCAGGATGTCTTTAACATGCTCTTATGTGCTTACATGTGCTAATTTTGGATTACATAGTGAGTCGAGAGAGCGCAACACAGAGATGTTTGAATAACCTCAAGAACCAGGTTGGTTCTGGAAGGAGCACAATTCCTTCCCATTGATCTGCGGGATCCAGTGCATCTAAGGACACAGATTTTGGACCGAACCCTGAAACACAATCTCTCCACACTCTTCAACTCCTCATCTTAAACACACAATTGTCTTTTGAATGACCTTGTGGTCTGTTTTACTACACTCACCAATTTTACTACTTATTCTGCTGGTTGTTTTACAGAAAAAGCGGTCGTAAGGCCTCATCAGTCTTCAACCATTCATTTCTTTTCCAATAGGACACACAGGAGTTCATTTTTGCTGGGTTTTGACTTTTTTTGCTCCTTGCCGTTGTCAGCTCAGCATTTTGTTGTCTCTAATCCCAAATATTCTCATATCCTGAGGCTAAGATCCAGCGTTGGAAAGTGATGAGTTGATCGTGACAAATTTACAAGTAGCCCCGTGTTACATTTTATTGTCATCGTGAGCCAAGGCCAGATGTAAAACAGAGACACAAGAGCCCAACAAGTGCACTGTGCTACCACAAGAATATTAGCAGCTAGATTAAAGCATGTGTAAAGAAAAAAAAGAAAAAAAAGTGTCTAAAGCATTGGATCTGGAGATTCTCCCTCTTTCTCAATTTCAGTCGACAGTGGAAATTCACTGAGGCTTGATTATAGCAGGAGAGCGTGTTGGCTCAGCTGTGTGCTTTAAGAACCCATGATGTCAGAGCCTTATTTTCCTTGGAGAGACTCTCATCAGCTGCATTGTTCCAGGAAACCATGGTCTGTTCTCTGGGCAACAAAAAAATCCTGCCCAAAATGCGATCCCCCCCTTTGCGCCCGCATCTCTGCTGAATGCAGCACGCCGGCCTCTGGCACAGCTCGAGACACACACACATAGACGTGAAGCATCCTGCATGGAGCATCACATTTCCTTGGAACCGAAGCTTCCCCTCCGCTGCGACAGTGTTTGTCTTTTCTTTTCTTTTTGTTTTTCATTAGAAGATGAGTGTCAGTGATGAAAGGCAGCGTGTTAATACAGGACGAGGAAATAACGTGTTGGACCCCAGAGGATTTTGAACAATGCTGCTACTGATGTCATAGAGCCCAGACTTCTGAGGTCTCTTTACGCACAAAGCTGTAGGCGGTGTGATTGAAATACAGCACCGGCAACTGACAGGTGATGCAAGCAGCTGACAGAGCTGATGAAAAAAACACTCCGCAGCTTCGCCGAGTTCAAAATTTAAAACATGCACGAGGCCAAAATTTAAATCTGGATGCAATTATGACTGCTTACAAACAAGACCAACTGTAAGTCAGCGACAGCTCAGTCAGTAGTTGAATAAACTTTACTGGCCTCAGCTGAAGATTTGACGAGCTGTGTTGTGGAAACATAAAAATTTAGTAAATAATGTTCATGGATACCCATCGAATCACATCTGGTCTTCATAAGATTATTTGACTTTTGGCTTTTTTAAAAAACTAATGTTCTTTGTTACAGAATTATGGAAATGATTTCTTAGAAATTCAGACCAAGGAAAAAAAATCACCAGATTAAGACTTTCACCACAGCTCGGAGTTTGTTGAATCCTCCAGGCAAGTGCCAGGGAGGCTGGTAGAGCCCAGTAGCTGTGAATTAGGTGGACCGGTCTGCAGTTCACCCACTGTCCATATCAGTTCATAAATGCAGCCTCTATTAGGAGAAGTCTGGGAAAAGGGAGGGAGACATTATCAGAGAGAGAGAAAGAGCCAGAAAGGTTACAACAACAGAGCATGAAGCTCACAAGTTCAGTTGTGCTTCTGCTGGAACGGCCGTGCCCCTGTGGACAAGTTCCTTCAGTAGAAGTCCTCGCCCTCCAACAATAATACTTACAAAATAAAGGCTGACCGCTCCAAGTAAAATCACTTGAGCTGAATAGCTATTATTCATGTCCTGGTTCTCCATCCCCTGCGCTACGGCTCCTGTGATGTTAATAAGGTAAGCCTTTTGAGCTGAGAAGAAGCCCACGAGGAGCTATGTCAACATTTTTGCTCGCCTTCGCCTTTTATCATCAGCTGATGGTCGGCACCGTGGTGTGGGTGCTTGTCGATCAAACAGTCTGAAGGCTTGATCACAGAGCTGTGGCATATCAAATTCTCCTTTAAACGAAGAGCTTGACGTTTTGCTTATTTGCGTTCTTGCTGAGAGTGTAGATGAGAAGATCAATACCACTCTCTGATTAGTGTGGTGAATACGAAGCTCCTGCCAGCGGCTGGTTAGCTTAGCTTAGCACAAAGAGTGGAAACAGCTAACCTGGCTCCTTTTAATGGTAACAAAGCCTCCTTCCAGCATTTACAACCATTCTAGCAGCTCTGAGGCTGTGCTTAGGCAGAGTGGTTAGCACTGATGGCTAGCACCGAAATGAGGAGGATCCCTCCTCCAGGGACAGAGGATTTCTGAACAGAATTTCATTGTTTGTAACATTTTTCAAATAATACTTTGTTTGCTACAGTACTGATGTGGTTGGTTAAGATTAGCAACTGGTTACACCAGAAAATTTGGTTGACAAAACACCTGAGTGACTAAAATCAGCTGTATATGAAGATGGAGTAACCCTCTGTGGCGTCACCTGTAGGTTTCCTGGACAGCAGTTTTGAAGCTCTGTGTTTTGGCTCCGATCATTGACTCCTCCTAACTCCTAGTTAATCCAAAAATGAGCAAAAACGTAGAGCAAGAATGAAGCTACGGTGGGCCTCACAAATGTCTCAGGTCCACAGACTGTCAATGACAGGGCCCACCTCAAAGCAGTCACACTGTTAATTGTGTGTAACTTTAGACCTTAATACGATTTAGACAGGTGACCTAATTAAAAGTCCTCCTCTCACACAGTTGTCATGAACATTGAAATTAGTTATAAAAACCAAAACTGCTTTTTGTACCGTAAAGTTGGACATTTTAAGATGGGGATCTACAGAGATGGTCTGCAAGGTGGCACAGTTGGTAGAACTGTTGCCTCCAAGCAAGAAGGTCGGCAGATTGTGTCCCGGTGGGGGCACCAGGATGCATGGAGTCTCCATGTTCTCCCTGTGCAGTGTGGGTTCTCTCCGGGTTCTCCGGCTTCCTCCCACAGTCCAAAAACATGTTGAGGTTAATTGGTTATTCTAAATTGTCCATAGGTGTGAATGTAAGTGTGCTTGGTTGTCTGTCTCTAAGTGTAGCCCTGTGTGTATAGATAATGGATGGATGGATGGGTCTACGGCAATCAACTCGCTTTAAAGTCAGCCTCAAGTGGCTCCCGTCTTTCTTTTTCAGCCCTGAAAGTTGCTGCTTGATATTAAACTGAACAAAGGTGCATTTTATTATGCATCCATGCTGGCAAAAGTTCTGGTGATGTTGGGTTGTGGTGGCAGCGTGCTCAGCAGATGTCAGTCTTTCTAAGTTGGAGCTCAAGTACCTCACCTGAAATGAAGAGACTAGAGCCAGGCCCAGGAGGGGGGCTAGCTGGTAAGTGTCTGGAGCCCAAGACTTCATCCATGTGACTTGACCAGGAGAAAGCAACACTGAGCTGCTGCAACCACCTGCAAGGATGGGAATAAAGTTTGGACGTGCTGCAATGCCAGCAGCAGGAAAGGACTGGGCCCCTGGGCATGCTGGCCCATTACAGACTGGTTTAAAGGAACACAACGAGGATGGATGGAAACTGCAATCTGACTGGTTGAGGGAGACAAACAACCACTAGGCAGTATTCCATTTGCTTATGAATTCAGCTCTTCATTTGTCGTCGGGCCATCATCAATTTCTGCAAAAGGGTCTCATCATTAGTACTTTCAGCTTGAGTTTGGAGGTTTTCATACGTGTTACTGATGTTTGTCGACGCTTCGTCAGAGGTTTTTGTTGATCCACTGAAGCCACTCAGAGAAAATGAGTCCCTATGAGCACCCAGTGGGAGTCTGTCTCGGCTGTAGTCCTCCTCTGTCCGGTCACCGGCTGGGCTCATTTCAGCATGTGGATTTTGAATGAAGACATTCACAGTCACCTCCTGCCTTTTGACCTCCTGGCAGCCTTCGTGACCCCACCCTGTGATGTGGTTGAAATTACAACTCACCATGGATCCCCTTTGTAACCACAAAAGCCATTCACCTTTTTCTTCCCTATTAATAGAATTATATCCTGTTTGCTGTGACCTCTGACCTTGAGGATAGAAGCATCCCTGCTGGAGACATGAGGATTTTTTACATTCAGCAATTTTAGATTCGACGCAACAGTCACTGTGCCTCAGTATATAAAGCAGCTGAGAGCCCAGTGGTAGCAGTCATTAGGTGAGACGAGATCCGTGACAGTCTTAAGATCTAAATACCGTAGATACCATGATCTCTGTCCACTCTGTCCTGTTTACTCTGGTGCTGTTCTCCGAGCTGAGCAGCAACGTGGTCGCTGTAGCCATGCCTGCAGAAGATGGTGAAACAGAACACGAAGGCCTGAATTCGATCTTTGGTGACGAGCCCATGGTTGAACCAGCCGCCGTTCCCCTGGTGTACCGAAGGAACCTCGTGCTGGACAACGACGTCAGGGATGAAGACGGGAGCCCGAAAGTCATCGTCATCTCCGTAAGTGTCACAACATTTAAGACTTTTGACCTTTGTTTAAAAAAGTACTGCTACTTTTTGATAGGTCAGCCATTATGAAGGGTTTCTTAGCTGCACCTGCTAGCTTTATTTACTAAACTAATCACTTATGGTTGTCGAAATATATCCAGATTTACCAGCCATTTTGCTGAGTTGACTTAACTTACAGCAATCTGTCTGCAGTCATTCAGCTTAATACTGTTCTGCCAGTGACAGTCATGCATCATAACTATTCATTGTATGAGATTTCTTTCTATAAACAACCTCAGCTCACCATAGTTCAACAACAAAGAACACATTATCTCCATCCTGTGACTGAACACTTGACCTCTCTCAATTGGCCACCGTCCTCGCATCCACTGTTAAGTCAATATTTCATACACATCTATTAAAACATTTTACAGCAGCACTGGAAAACCGGGAAATACTATTAGCTGAAAAGGTCAAATGATCACAAGCCTATAAAGATTTATTGGAATCACAGTGGGAAGAATGATGATGTATCGGAGCTCCCTCAAACGTTTGGCCGCGACGTGTAAAGAGTTTATCTGGCGACTGCGTCTCCTGTGTGTCATGAACATGGTGGTTATCTCTGTGGTAATGGGGAACAGGCAGCTATAATGGAGGCAACAAAGACATCTGGGTGAACCGGAGCTGTGGAGGAAAACAGGCCACTGTGATATAGTAAAAATGAGCGAACACATTTCTTCCATTTGGGGTTCCTGTGGCTTGGATCAGCTGGTAAAGGCAGATCCAACACCTGTGCTACAAGTGAATAGATCATCTTTAAAAGCTGTTGCTGCGATTTGACCATCCAGAGTTCACATCCTGCAGTGTGGGAGCGCATGTGGGCTCAAGGTGTCACATGTAATCACTAATCAATACAATGTTCCAGGACATGAGGCTGAAAGGGCACAATGTTCGTGGGCTGAACCCGGCCTTCACCCGGAGCTTGAGCCACACTCCTGCCGAGTACAGTTCAAAAATAGATCGCAGGGAGACCGACCTCGACGGTAAGTATTGGGAAAACCCATGTTTGTAAACTCATGCTTAACCTTTTTGCATTTCCTAATATTGACACAACCTAATGCTCTCTATCGCTTCCTTCCTTCTTTCAGTGCTGCGATGTATGATAGGAAGAGTGTACCGACCCTGCTGGGAGGCATAAGTGTTTCTCCAGGTGCTGCCACCTATCCATGAATGTGTTGTAAAAATTTCTTCCTAGTGTGTTGCGCTGAAATACATTTCCCTGTAGAACATATGTGCAGACAAACATGTAAAACAAAATAAAAGTTTATTAAAAATGAACAGTTGCATCATATTTACTGAGCTGATTTGAAAGCAAGTGAAATAAAAGTATACAACCACTGATTAAATACATTCGTAGCTAAACAGGGTTTACTAGTAACATGTGTTAAAGATGAACATTAATAAAGTGCCATGAACAGATCCAGACTCCCAACTGATGCGTTCAGGTTGCAGCCGCCCACATTTTCCTACTAAATGGGTAGAAATCAGTAAAGATTTTGTACTTTTCATTGACTATATTCTGACATTTTATAGACTAGGTACTTAAACAGAATCCATCCATCCATCCATCATCTATACACCACTTAATCCTCACATTCACACCTGTGGACAATTTAGAATCACCAATTAACCTCAACATGTTTTTGGACCTTGTGGGAAGAAGCCGAAGAACCCGGAGAGAACCCACGCTGCACGGGGAGAACATGTAAAGCCCATGCAGAAAGATCCCGGGTGCCCCCACAGGGATGCGAACCAGCGACCTTCTTGCTTCAACCGCCGCGCCACCTTGCAGCCCTATTTAGCTTCATGCGTTAGAGTTAAATAGTAAATTGATGCCATCTTTGCACACTATACATGAAGCCACAAGGTGATTAGCTTACTATTGCACAGGAAAAAGCAAAAAGGAAACAGCAGTTTGACTGTGCATTAAAAAAAATAAATCTGAAGCTCACTAATTATTATACTAGTTGTTTAATTTGTACATAAACTTATCTGTAAGCTAAATATGAAGCTATTGCTAGCAGTTAGTTAGCTAGCAAGACAAAGTTTAGCTGTTTCTTGCTTCCAGGCTCTATGCTAATTCACGCTAACGACCTGCAAGCTGTAGCTGCATAATGGCATACAGACAAATTCTTGACAAAAAGGCAAAAAAGTGTATTTATTTCTTAAATGTCTGAAGCTTTCTAATTAACACATTATTTCTTGTTTGTTTGTTCAAAAAATGATAACTAAAAATGAAGCTAGCAGCTAGTTAGCTTGCTGAATGATGCTGTTTGCTTGGTCTCTCTGCTTCCTGTCTTTACCTGAGCTAACTTAGCTAACTTCCTGTTACCTGTACATGCATATTAGCTCACAGACAGACCTAAAGAGTGTTTTTTTTCTTCTGGATTAAAAAAAGCAAGTAAGTATATTTTCCAAAATGCATGTTGCTCACTATTTAGCACATTTTATTGTGTTTGGTCAATTTGTACAAAAACTTATCTGTAAGCTAAATATGAAGGTACTGCTAGCTGCTACATCTCTGAGCTAACATAAGCTAATCAGCAGCTAGCTTTGACTGCATATTAGCAGATAGATAACCTCCTGACAAAAAGGCAAATAGGTTTATTTTCCAAAATGTCGAAAACTTACAAAGTAATACTTTAATTATCCTGTTTAATTCAACACAAATTAAGTATCATCTAAATATATATCTTTACACTAATCTCTGCTAATTGGCTGATAGCTTGAGCTGCATATTAAGAAATGTACTGATCTTTTAATCCAACTTGACAGAAAGGCAAGTACGGTTTTGTCCCCCAAAATTAAAAAGAAAAAAATTTAAAAATCTTTACAAACAGTTAAGATTTCAGTGAGACCAAAAACAATGATTAGTAGCAACCCACATAGATAAAATGCACAAACTACACAGGATTGTGTCGGTGGGGGATCAACTCTTGGCTGCTTCGGATGAAACACATTTGATAGAAAGTCTATTTTGTGTCATTATTTAGTGAATATTTTGATTAGACTCTGAAAAAGCTGGTTAGCTTTCCCTGTCCAGCTATTAGCTTCTTCTTACTCGGGGCCTTGCTGATGTTTTTGCCAGGCAGTTTGACTGACGCACGAGTCGGCTGTTTCTTCTGTGGAGGCTCATTCTCTGATCCACCATGTTGGTCAGCGTCCAGCTGCTTCCTCTTGTTCCCCTTGCTCTGCATCTGAATGCCAGTTTTCTTTCTATTACCGGGGCCCACACCTCTGTTTTGGGCATTTCCGCTTCTTTGGTGGAGAGCTGCCCCCCGCTGTACCTCACTCTGCTCCTTATTCGGACATTCAGAGGTAGGCTGGGCTGCAAAGATTGAAACAAAGCAAAAGCAAGTGTGACAAGTCAGTAGGAAAAAAAGGAAAATGTCGTGACGAAATTGCTGACGTTAGCTGCTGGTCGAAGCAGGCTTTATGTTTATTGTATGAAGCTGGAATTCAACATTTGTCATGTAAACCTGATGGAACTGAGCCTGAATTCCCACGGAACAAAACACAGAAGGGGAAATGGGCAAAAGGTCTGTGTGAGTGTGTGAGCGCTTTTTGGTTTTTACTACAGATGTGGGGCTGAGCAGGTTTTATAGAATGGGGATTCATTTAATGGCTGATGGTAAGTACCAGTCCCAGGGCTGGGACTGGGAAGGGTTCAAGGCTGGAGCTGAGAAGGTGTGCCTGGGCCTCAGTCCAGCTGTGTGGCGTCAGAGGAAACAGAAGTCTCTTCCAGCAGAAAGATCGCAGCACGACTCGTGTTGACATTTTGAGCTTTTCTCTGTGTGCAGTACAGTACAAAAAGCACCTGTAGTATTCACAAAAAAATGCAGTTTGAATCTGTACCTGTGGTTGCGTCCTCCACGTCAGAGCTGCACTCGTCATCCTCAGCTGTGGTGGTTTTGCGTTTGGGTGCTGGGTGCACACAGGTAGGGACCTGGCTGCTGCTGGGGAAGTCCAGCACACGGTTGAGAGGCAATTCTTCATCCTTGTACGTGCAGGCAAACTGGGATCGGATGACTCTGTCTCTGGCCTGGAATAAACAGAGAGGCGTCTTCAGTCCAGCTGATATGGTGACATAGTTGATGATCAGTGTCAGTGACTCAGGGCAGGTGACCTCGGTCGTCTGGCTTTTAAATCTTGCTCTCTGGCTCTTCGCTAGGTGTTTTGAAACAGAAAACCCTCACACTAAAAATTCAGTAAGTGCTTTTCCACTCCTGCTCATTTTTAACTGCTCAACAAGAGTGATGGGAGCCGCATACTTCCTCGGCCATGTGAGCAGCTCAGTGAGGCTGCCACTAGAACTGTTTTTCTATCAGTTACTATACTGATTATTTTATAAATTAGTCGATTCATCTAAACAATTAATTTTCTTCCAAAAAAACAAAATGCCCATTTCATTTAAGTTCAATCTATTTTGGCAAACAGTACAAAATGCTAAAAAAAAAAAAAAAAACATGTTGAAAACTCCAAAAAAGAAAAAAATGTTTCCTTAGGCCAGTAGAGCAACTGCAACAGAAATCCAAGTTTTTTTTATTGTGTGATAAAGTTTGGTCTGTGTACTAAGGAAAGTGCAACATGGACAAAGTTCAGTAAGGTAGCATGGAGTCTTAATGCCCTGCAGTGACAAAGAAACAAAAATTAAATTAAACTAAATTAATGTCCACATCCTTGAAATATGCTGAGCAACATGTGTGGATGTTGTCGGTTGGGTAACAATCCTATCTGATAGAATAAAGTTGTCTCCTGGTGTGTGAACCAGCTCTCATATTATCTTGAAGGACGCATATTGTGCTCAGTAGAAAAATACAAAACAGAATCACAGGTTCAGTGGAGAAATACACATTCAGAATACACAATAGCTCAAAACATAACTAATTATAACAAAGTGATTATAGTTCATCCTGAAAGGAACATAAATACTGTTGCCGAAATTCTTGGAAATCCAACCAATAGAAGTCCAGACATTTCACAACCAGCAGGTATCAAACTCACAATGACAATAAAAAAGTCAGGGAATGGCCAAAGTCATGAGCTTCAATGACCATGAATCACTCGTGGTCGTTCATCTGCCTGCTGTGGAGAAATTCAAGTCAAATAAAAAATAAAAAATGATGACATGGTTGCTGATCGGTATCTAAGGGTCGATGGCCAAGATTCCTGGCTTTAAGAAACACTTTCACACAAAAAATAACTTCACTCCTTGAGCTCTCAAGGACAAGGCACAAAATATCAAGCAAAGCAGAATTACTTGTCAATCTTTTCTTCTGTAATTAGCCGACCTATACATGTCTGCACAACTCTTCACACCAATCACACAGCACCTTCATGAAAATAACACAAGCTGACAATTTATACATGAGCTCAACTTTCTGCCACTTCAAACAGGAGGAACCATTTTCTTCAGTCTTATCACAGTTAAATATCATAGACAGCAGTGCAGCGCCTCATTAAAAAGCCTTTTCGACCAGCCAAGCTAGTTATAACCAAGTGAATGATATTGAAGAGTGAATCCCTGCCCTTGGGCACACAGATCCACAGCTTTTCATCCACTGTTTGATCTACGCCTGCTTGGGATTAACACAATCCAAGGATTTCACCCTTCAGGCCAGTGGGCCACAGTAGGGAGGAGAAATCGAAGGGAAAAAAATACAGTGAGCAAAGCTGGGTGGGTCCGTAAAGCACAAAGGGATCAAAGCCTTTGTGCTTTTCAAAATAACTTCTTAAAAGAGCACCTAAAACAACAGTAACCCCGAGACCGGGGCACACTTCAATAATGGAGCTAAAAATGCACGCTGCCCTGGTTGCATGCTAATAAAACGTATCTGAAGCGGCCCTGAAACAATGGGAGGGGATGGAAGAGTGAACACGGCCAAACTATGACTGACGGAGAACATCTAATCCAATTACAACAGGTGGGAGCCCAACGTGGCACCGTGTGGTCAGACGGACTCATTTCTCCGAAGACGGCCGTCCTGAAATAACCTCCGCACACCGCCTGACCCGACGCCGGGGACACCTGACCAAGACATTCCTGATTGTACTTCCAAAAGCAGGTGCAAGCCATTTCTGCAGCTTTGTGCTCTGACATGAGCTCATGCAGGTAATAGAAGTGAGAACAGGTGCCACCATTACTACTATCACCAGCAATCACTCTGACATAAAAAGCACATACAGTCGTATTACCATGCAATCTAATGCACCGTTTCTTAAACATCATTATTCATGTCACAGAGGAGCAACAGCAGAGTTTCACTCAAGTTTTTTTCTATGTTTGGCTCATCTGTGGCACTGAGAAAAAGATTTGGAAACGTCCCAAAAGCAGAAACTAAATCTGTCCATCTCCGTGTGTGCCAGTTGACGTCAGTGCATGATGAAACCGCTGGAGAAGTCTGGGATCAAGTCATTTAGCAGACAACAGGAAACAATAACCTTTCAAGTTTCCCTCGCTAGTCGAGTTACGCGACTGATATGGCATCTTCAAAGTGAAATTGATGCAGAAAGCTTCCGCTCACCGAGTTCAGGAAGCGGTGAGCCGCCCAGGGACCATTATGGCGCACTCAAACAGGAAGGCAGCCAGATTGTGGGGAGCTAAGATGACATCTGCTAGCGCAATCAAATAAAGGAACCATTTCACAAAATGTGTTTAGCATACATGTTCAAAAGGGGTTCACACAGCTGATGAGCTGCGTGTTAAAAGATCAGGCTAAGTTTAAAATCTAAAGCTGGTCTTTTGGGGTGACTCAGCAGCAATAGTACTTTGTAAAAACACTAAGTCCTGCATTCAAAATGTCTTTTAGTGAAATAACTTTTAATTTAACTTTTAAGATATTTCTATAAATTCTACAATTTGATAATAAGTAATAATTTATCACAAAGCAGCACAACATTATAATCCTGGCTTTTTGAGGCCAATGTTATGATTATTTGTAGGTTTAATAAAGCTCATAATGTTGTCACTGATGCTAATTTATTTAATACAAACACAGTTAAATGTGCTCCATGGATTCATCATCACACTTCTACTGTCGAAAACCGCTAAACTCATGACGGACAGCCTAAAAAAGAAAAAAACGGATCATCACTATTAGATTTTCTTTATTCCATGCAGTCTTCTCCTTCGTCAAAACCCACAATGCAACTCGACCCCTGACAGCTTGGTCAGAGAATCCAGCGTGTTATGCTAGCAGCGGCTGATGTATTCTCGAGCAGGGATGAGGAGCAGCCACAGAGGTCTTCAAAGCTCGCATCTTTCTTCGCTCATTTTCAAAGTTATTGTCGAAGGACATTTATAAGATTTCACACAGCTCTCTCTGGAGCCACAAAAGGCTTTATGCACATGTTTTCCACATATGCAGCACAATCCCCAACACGTGTGATCGGGCTTTCATGTGTAAAATTGGTGGAGTTCCCCTTTAAAATGAATGTGACGATGATGCATACTGAGCGGAACATTTTATGACTGAAAAGACTTGTCAGCGGTAGTGTGATGTAATGGTGACGCGGTTTCTAAAATTAGCCTGCAACCGTTTTGAAGTCGAGTTCTCAAACGTGATTAATTTTAATTTGGGGGTTTTGGATTGTTGCTAACTCCAACCAACTCTAATCCTAACTCTCATCCAAAACGAGACACGTGAGGACATCATCTTGTGCTCTAAAATACTGTGATGGGGACTTTAAACTTACACTTTATTCATTTAATTGTGCAGCGAACTTGGAGACAACTTTTGAACTGTCTCAAAAAAAAAAAAAAAAAAGAAAATGCAAATGCAAATTATAGTCCACCAACTGTTGAACAAACTAGGCTGCGTAGCGACATCACCAGGTGACGCTATAGGCTACAACACATGGCTGTCATAAACATAGTAGAGGAACCTGAAACCAAACCAGTTGGTTGTCAGCCAGTAAAAAAACTAAGAAGGAGAAAACAAAATTTTGGCCATCTACGACAGAAACATGTAAAGTATTCACAAAATGTAAGTTGTAATAATCTTTTCACATCAGCTGATACTGGCCATGATTTATTCTCTCAGGACACCAACACAAACATCTAATCAGTCATGTGAGTTAAATGTTTGCTCAAACAGAATCAATTCAAAAAGGAGTTTTTTCAGAAAAGCGATTGTAAAAACATTTGCAAATCTGGGGAAGCTTCCATTAACTTTTTGTAGTGTAATACTTTAAAATACACGATGGAAACACAGCTACTGTTGTCTGATGTTCTACAGATGACATGATACAAAAAATATGTAAAATGATAGATTTTAATTATGTTTTTTTTTTTTTTAACAAACTAAAATTTTAAAACATAACTTGGTCAGAATTCTTCTTCTAAAAAAAGTAAAATTCTTGTATGTCTATTTAAAAAATAAAATTATATATATTGTTGGCAAAACTATGGGATTTGTGTGACTTAAAAATATTGATATTGACCCCAAAAATCTAGTATCAGTTGGGCTGCTATGTAGTGTAATAGAGAGTAATGTAACAGTAAGTGGAAACACTACCAGTTCAGTGTACTTGTACTTCAGTACAGTACTGCAGTAAGCTACGCTGGCCTGCTGAGTGTATTCTGTGAGAACTGCAAGTATGAGCTCAAGAATCCAATCAGCTCCACCTCTTTGCTCACAAAAACTGGAACAAAACTGTACAAAACACTAAAGCCTGCATGCTCAAAATGAACAGGCAACAAAAAAAAAAGAAAAAAAGATCCTGTCAGATGTTTCAAACTGACCTCTGAAAACATCCCAGTGAAACAAGAGAACAGCTGAGCTTGCAGCCAGGAAGGAAGGAAGGAAGACAGAGATATTGATATCAAATATAAAGCATGTTACAGTGTGCACTGTAAGCAAATAGGCCCTGACAATAGGATAACTTATCATGAGGATTGGTTAATGGTTTGAATCCCCCACAAATAATTCATTTTATGCCACTGACTTAAACAGCACACTCAAACCAACACTAAGAGCTAAAACACAGCTGTGCAAACGGGAACGGTGGAAGTCAGTTAAGATGTGAGCTTCAGCTAAGCAAATAAATAATATAATACCAGGGAGAAATTACAGGATGTAAAGACATTATTTTCAATGTTTGCACATCTGATTCAATTTGAAGTAACTGATGGTTTGGATTTGGGGCTCTTGGATGAAGGGGCCCGTGTTACCTTGGGTTTGAGAAGGTCTAGTCGGCTCTGGACTCGGTTCCTTAGGGGTTCTGGAGAACATCCAGTAGACACTTCAGGGGATCTGGGGAGAGCGCCGCAATGAGAGGCAAAGACAAGAGGTTTATAAATTAGAAAAGCTAGAAGGTTACACGGTTACACTAACCAAGAAAGCTGCTCAAAGCGCTGCTCTCCCTTCACTGCAGCGCTACACAGTCAAGTTTCCAACATGTAAAAGATGTTTTCACTAGCATCAGCCATCCAGTGTCATCCACCTCCAACATACTGTAACACCCCCCCGAAACACGGCCAGTGGCTATTATTTTTTAATATTTTATTTCAGATGTTTGACCAGAGAAATTGTTCCAGTGCGATGTGGGAGGATTTTCCTCCATATGGTTTCAGTGGAGAGTTGTAGAGTCCCATGTTGGTCTAATTGCTGCTTCAGGGGTTTTCCCACTCTGACTGAACTCTGTGGTTGTGAGAACGGTCTAATCTAATTCAAACTCTGTGTGATGACTTTTTCATAGTTGAATACAACTTTTTGCTCTTTTTGCTCAGGAAGAAAAATGCCTCCTGCTCATCGTGACCAGAAATGGTAAAAACAATATTGTAAGTGTGCTGCATGTGTTTATTCTTATGTGCAAGAACCAGACACCACATGGTTGTTTACTGTCTAACTGTCTATCTAAAAAAAAAAATGAAGCCAGAACAAAAGTGCCAAAAATAGCTCCTCGAATGACGACTTAAGCCTGGTTCCAAAAGGGAGTTAAACCTATAAACCGCATGTTAAAAAGTCCAACTTTACAGCCGAAATAAACATGTTTGGCCTGGTACAACAAACTGTTTTGGTTTCTACAGCTAATTTCCTTATTCATGGAAACAGTACTGGGGGTGAATATTCATATAACCCATAAATTGTATTCAAGACTTAAAGTTCTACATAATGAAGGGCACTCTGAGTGTCAGGTGGGTGCCATCATATCACAGTCCATGCTCCACCTCTTTTTGAATCAAGAGGCACCTGGCACTGCCAAGATGGAACTGTGGTGCCACCACACTGAGCTTGATGTTTCTGAGGGATAACGCATCTTTATGTACAGTCTATGGACTCAACAAACTGTACGTACCTTTCCTTAAATGGGCCACGTAAAGCTTTAAATTAGCACTTCTTTAATTGTAGACCATTCCTCATGTTTAGTTTATAAAAAACCATTAAGTACTGAAAAGTGGCCACTTTCCCACATCCCAGAGTGAAGTCTTAATATTTTTTGTTTTATATAACCATCAATCCAAGAAATCCAATGATCTTGAATAGAGGAAAGTAGCAGAGCTCCCCTGAGAGGCTGGGACGAGCTAATCAACCTGTCAGTTTGTTCACTGCTTTGGTCCAGACTAATCCATCTGATAGTATTTAAAATATTTCAGATTATATACAGACAGTCATATTCCTGTTGCAATGAATTATAATAACTTTGGTGATGTTCCCAGTACTTTGGTTTGTATCCAAATACCTGCAAAAATTCACACCAGCATCAGCTGTACTTTGTGTTATTTCTATTTAGGAAATGTGAGCATGCTAACGTGCTAAACTACAGTGGTGAAGGTTAGATGTAGCTCAAGACCCAACTGGCACGGTGCCAGTTTGTGCTCAATGGAAGTGTTGGCCATACCACTTAAACCTGGCACATAAAACAACAAATAGCACTAAATAAAATGTGCAGGATCAACTGTAACCAACCTGAACATCATGAGGATGGACGTTCCCTCGGCTCCACTGAGGACAGGCTGGTCCTCAGACAGCAGGTCTGCCTTGTTTGGACACGGAGGAGTCACGGCTTCTTCATCCAGCAGCGCCATCAGCACCTTGACAGTGTCCCGACCTCCATATGCAGTGGCATGATTGACTGCATAAGCTTTTGGCTGGAGATGAACATCAACACAACTACATCAGAGCTCTGTCAGAGCGGATATTGAAACAAGATGAAGTGTGTTTTGAATGAATGTATGGACTTCAGGAGAGACAGAAAAGCCCCGGCTGCAGCCAACTGGCTGGAGAGCAGAGGTTATACATTACCCTGGCAGGACTTATCCCAGTCCCACTTCCATTAGCAGTCTGTTTCTGGATCTGGTGTAGCTGGCAGATCCTTTCCTTCAGCTCCTTTGTCGTCTCTTCAGCTGCAGCGTACACTGCCTCTCCACTGCTGCGTCCCTTCACCAGCACTGCCCTGATGGCGGCCACCAGCCTGGCTCCACACACACTAATGAATAAATACAATGAAAGTCAGTGACAGATGCTGGGAGAGCTGTGTTGTGCTTTAGCTACAGAAAAAAAAAGCATGAGTACTGAGTAGTCTCTTTTGCAGAACACACACACAAGCAGGTTTTCATCTGGATGGAATTAATAGCGTTCAAGAGTTCAGCCAATATTTGCCAACACGAATAACTCTCTCCTAAAATTGAAAACCCAGAAAAGCCAGGGCCTTAGTCTGAATGTCTTCAAAAGATATACTGCAGCTTCACTTTCAATTAATTGGACACTGACTTTAAGGGCTCAGAGTAATTGTTTCAGAGCTAACATCCAGTTGAGCTTTATTTCACTGTAACAAAGCTTTGCCAATGTTAACAGTTATGAAGCAGAAAATATGTTCCAAATCCCTGTTAAAGTCACCCTGGGCACTGTCACTGCACTCACGATGGACCGTCAGCTGAGAAACTCCAGGATTTTCCTCTTTATAGTTCGGGGGGATTTTCATCCATGTTTGTCTCCACCGTGAGTCCAAAAATCATAGCAACATATCACTTATGTAGGTTTCTAGGAGTCAAGTGCACTAAAGCATGTTAGAAAAAGATCGCAGTAAGGTGGAGAGGCGGCGGTCCAACCCTGACCCTGCTCTGATGTGAGCGAGTAACAGAATCATTTGGGAAAACAGATGTTCGCCGAACAAGGGGCCCTGAACTCGCCACAGAAGGTGTTTGTATGAGGAAATACAGTACTCCACTGAGAGTGTAAAGGCACTGCCTGTTGAAAGACATATGCTGGCCCAGTTCACAAGTGTCTCATCAGACAGGAGCTCTCTCATCAGCCCGCATGAACTGAGAACCCTCAGAAGAGTAGCGAGAGTTGAATGCACTACTGCACAAACATCACAATGTGTTGTTATGGCTCGACTGAGTGAAGAAACGTCGCTACTGGGACCGCTACAAAGGGCGCCTTCAACAGCTTTGCCTCAAAGCTCACATGATTGAACGGCTAAATCATTTCTGATAACCACTTCTGTTGTGGTGCCAAACGCTTTGACATCCAAAATAACCTGTAATGGTATGGAGAGTGATCTACACGGCTTGATGATAGTTCATCAAAGTGAGCGAGCAAAACAAGGGAACAAGTTATTGCTTTGATGTAGCAAAGATGAACATGCTTTAGCAATCCAAATGTTATCATGAGGAGCTTAGATGGGAGTCATTACAGGGATTTGAAGGAAATAATAACAAGCTGCAGTTGGACAGGTGGATTTTATGATCACAGGTGTGATTTCGGAGCACAGGTGTCCGTCAGGCTGATACAACCGACTGTAAATATTCCCACCAGCCTCCCTCCCCCTCTTTCCACACAGAGCTGCACTCAGTTCAGCTTTCAGAATTGAACTGAATTCACAAGAATTGAACTGGCTGCACCGGAGAGGAAGCAGAATTTAACCTGAACTGGGATTGCAGGAAGAAGTGAAGCAATTCAAAGAAAATTCCACTCAATCATAAATCACGAGTTTCACTGTATTCGACTTCAGCCCCTGCCAGATGCTCAGCTTTTCTTGGAATCTCTGTATTCTCCTCATCAGCTCAGGAGGATTTCTCTGGAAATGGAGCACATATACTCTACATAGGTTACAAAACCGAAAGGAATTAAAGGCAACACTTTTAATGATGCATTATCTGACATGGAAAATGTCAGCAAATTGTTTGTGCCAGCGTTAGCCAGTAGGATTATCCACTATATATATGTGGTTTATCCCTGATTAAATAATGTAGCAAATGTGGAAAAAAGCTGCTGTGACCACAAAGATTAATTTCTTAATTAAGGAAGCCTCGAGGATATAGTTATTCTAAACTTAAAGGTGAAGTCAGTATTTTTTCTGTCAATAAAAAATATTGCCTGAAATGTCAAAGTCTGATTCATCTTATTCCTCTGTGTCAAAATCTATTAAAAACACATTAATCCATCAGCCTCCATAGCATTTCTCAGTCCACTACTCCACCAGCAATCACAACCATTCGATGGGCTCATTAAACAGCCAGTAGTTCCAGTTGGTGTCATGCTGATGAATTCTTAGAAAGCATGGGCATGAATAACTGCAAAATAACAAAAAGATACAATCTTGTAGCTACAGTATGTTTTACTACTGTAATACAAGAATACCTAAGGCTTAGTTTGACATTCTGTGAAATTTACGGTCACTTTTCTGCCCAGAGTTACATGAGAAGACTAAACTCAAATCTCATGTCTGTAAATCAACCAAGTGCTATGGTTAGCTTAGCTTAGCAAAAATGCCTGGAAGCACGGAAACCTTTTGCTTGGCTCTGTCAAAAGCTTTAAAAAATCTGCCAAACAACATTTTAAATCTTATGAATGGACACGTTGTGTCTCAATTTTAAAGTTTTTTTTATTAACTCTGTGTTCCATAGCGTAGATATGGCACTAGTAGCAGACAGCGTATAGCTTAGCTTAGCATGAAAACTGGAAGTAGGGGTAAGTGGCAATTCTAGCTCTGTCCAAAAGTAATTAGAGCTTCCCACCAGAACATGTAAGGCTTATTAATTAACAAATTATACATTGTACATGTATTTTTTTGCCCTTCATGTCTGCACTGTGAGTATGAAGAGAAACCCAGTAGGTGTTAGCCTTAGCATAGCTTTTTACAATCAGGGGAGCTAACCAGCTTATCTCAACTGAAGTACTGTGTTTATTAGTCAATTTAGAGGCACTGGCAGGGAAATTATTTAAAGTCTAGACAAAGCAAAGCAAGTAGTTTCCCTCGGTTTTTAGTTTTTATGCAGAGCTAAGGCAACCCGCTGCTAGCTGCGGCTTTATACTTCACAGATTTCCATGTTATCTTATAGCAAGAAAGTGAATCAGGCCACAACCTAAAATGTCCAACTAAAGCATCATGCTACAAATGTAGAAAATATTAAACTATTCACTATATTGTCAAACAGAGCCATGTTTATTGCATTGACTTAAAATAAAGGTCAACGGGGTTATGAGTTTAGTAGATTGTATGATTAGTTATGCATCCTGACTAATAGCCAATATATTCTGAAGGGTGAATGTTGAAAAGTTCCCATAACACGTGTAAAACATTTTTAAAAAAAAGCATTTTAACCATGTTTGTTGGAGTTTGTGTTGTTAGGGACTTTGACACCAAGATTTTGTACGCTATACTGCAAATGTAAATCAGTTACAAATATTCATCATCAATCTCCTTGACGACTAGTAATCAATATTGTTTTTGAGAAGAAAAACAAAAAAAAAAAAGCACATTGATCGACCCCGAATTTAAACAACTCCGTTTAGTCCAGTTGTTGAAAATCTGAATTGCGAATCTGCTTCATGTTTGCTTGCTTGATTGGATGTAGATTGTGGGTATTAGTCTGCCATTGGCTGCATTTCAGCTGGTTTTCTCCTCCCCATCTGCCATCTATGTGTCACCATTTTCAAAATCCCTCTCATTGTGGAAAACAACAACACCAACCTCCAGGCAACAAGTCACACACTCAAATGTTTAAGTTTTGCAGAGGATTTGGATCATGTATGGATCAAGCAGCCCAACTATTCTAACGGCAATGGTTGCCCCCTCCATGTAAATGTTCCATCAAAAGAATTTTCACATTACTGTTTGAATGATTACTGATTGAATGCCGTCAGTGCATCCTGTTTTAGCCTCACCCAAGATGATTTTAATTGGTTCTCAAAAATACGTACGTGCCAGAGCTGAGCATCATGATGAGGTGCAGATGAGGTCAGATCATTCTACACAGCGTTGTGTCAGCACAAGAAAATGGTCCGACTATGCTGTATTTTAACAAATTCTAATAAACTTTGACTCAAATTAAAAACTCACCTGGAATACATCAAGAATTTACAGCTTAGTTATAAATAGGACGCATCTCATCCTCCCTACATTGTCACTTAATTCACCTCAAACCTCAGAGTAAAACAGGGAGCGAGTGGACACCTGGATCAAGCTGCATTGTGTACCTTGGGTCAGGGATCTCCCCCAGTATTTCTTCCAGGTTGTCTAGAAACTGGACAAAGTCAGACAGGCCTTTGACATGTTTCCTGAGTGGGTCAGACTCAGCTGGAGCGTAGCCCTTCCCTCCGAGCTGAATGGCCCTGACGAAAGATGTCACAGCCTGCGAAACAAAAAAAACCACCAGAGAGGATTACACTCATTTTTAAGTCGTAGTTTTGGCTGCGTGGCATCATAGACATCAGTGCTGAACACATGATTAGTGTGAATGATTCTCACCAAGAAGAGAGAGGTGTTGTTGTCATGTGCAGCATGCTTGAGGTCAGTGAATGCCTGTCGTCCGAGAGCGCGACTGGGGACGTCCAGGGTTAGCGCCAGGGCCATGTCGTTCTTGGAGTTTATGAGCAAATTCAGATAGGAGCAGAAAATCCTTCGTACTGCCGTTTTCACCTATTTACAACAAGCAATAAACACATTGTTAAAATTATCATATTGGCTCTTTTTTTAGTACATTTATGAGGGGATTAATACAATACTCATATTAATTTGATGCCAGTATAGTATATGTTATAAGGCCATAGCGTTCAGTAAGCTTCTTTAGCTTAGCACAGATACTAGAAATACAGGAAAACAGGTTGCCTGGCACCTGCCAGCACCTCCACAGCTCACTAAAAACCACATTATATCTGATCTGTAAATAAAAACAATATATCTATTCCTTCTTTGTTGTATTATGTGTTTTATTTTTTTTTTGTTTGTGGTTGCGGTGAGCCAACAAGTGGAGACAGCAGAAATGTATTGCTCAGAGTAAGAAAATAGCAAAATCTTTATGTATTTAGATATTTGCATGCATTACAACAAAAAGTATTTATTTGCTTTTGGATTTATATTACGTTAAAGTAACCAGCTGCTCCTATAAGGGATCAATAAAGTTCTATTCTATAACCTCATATTTAACGCAGTGATATGAGTGTGGTGTTGAGTTTCTCATCCAACAATCTACCAAACACCTAATATGAGTCTTTCCCTAAATGTGTAAGAGTGGACGGTAAAACCACTAAAATCAGCAGCTAGCAGCCTCTATTAAACTCCACAAAGAATTACATCACCAAACCTGGTAATGCAGCAGCAAGCCTTTACTAAAAACTCATAAATTTGCAAACGACAGAAAAGAAAAGGAAAGAGACTGTGTTACAGAAGCTCTTGTCCAGCCCCACGTAGTGTCGCGTTTTAAACATCTGCTTGGTAATTGAATTCACATTGCCCTCTTAAATCTGAGTGATATGATATAGAGTTCCTGTCAATAGGAGCAGGATGGATTCCAGACAGAAATTAAGTACGCCAAAGACTGGAAAAGTAAAAGCATGGATTATTGCCTGCAGGAGAAAAGCATTTCATATTACTAAAACAACTTTATATAAGGGCAGAGGGCAAAGTGGAAATAAGGGATTTCTAATGGGAGTTTATAAAATAAGTTGCACCTTTTTTTAATGCTGAAAAGCAGGGCTGGGCCTACCTGTGAGCTGCAGGGCCTGACTCTACTAGACGGTGTTGACGGGATTGAGGAGTCTGGCAGCTCTGGGATCTCCATGTTGCCTGATAGGAACTCAAACAGCTGGGTCTTGGCAAAAGAATAAAAAATTATCAGAAAGATAAATTGATCGGCCTTTTTTCTAACTCTGCAGCCAGTCAGATTTCAACCAGCTCCTGCTCACCGGGCTCACAGGCTCCTCTGGGTCCGAATCCACTAGTCTCAGTTGTTTGTACATGGAGAAGATATCAACCAGGTCCACGGTGTTGGAGCGTTTCAGGAAGGATTCGTAAGCCTCCAGGATGAGATCATAGTTCTCCAAGCGTGCAAAGCTGGGGGGTGGCAGGTGTAGTTTGTCTAACAATAAGTGTTTCCAGGCCATCAGGACATCGCTCAGAGCCACTTTGAACTCTCCGCCGTGCTGTCACAGGAAGAGAGAAAACAGCAAAGCAGCAGCCGTAATTACTAACGGCCTGGAACCAATCAGTTCAAAAGCAGAAAGACCTTCTGCCGCAGTCCAAAAATAAGCCATGAGCGGTCTCAGCCGGAAATCTGTGGTAATGTCATCCGTTATAGATGTGATGACAGTCGGCCTGATGGTTCAATTGAACTATGCTGTGATGATGATGTGAACTGGGCTCAGACAGGCTCGCTTTTAGGCCTCCGGATAACTTAGAGCAAGAGCACTGCTGCTGCAGATCAGGGAATATTTTCAGCGTTTCTTTACTCTTGAACTTAATTCATTTGCCAGTTTTCATCTCTTTGTGGAAAAAAATAGTTGCAAGGTGCATGTAATTTTCTTTCTTCCAGTAAGGAGAATCAAAGTCCCCTTACATTTTAGAGGTTAAAGGATGTTGACTGCGACTGATTAATCTCTATGATGTCAACATTTTGCAGTGAACGCTAAATGGTAGTAAACATTAAAAGCACTGATTAAATTGATTTTTTTTTTTTTTAGGTTGAAACGTGAAAACTGTCAGCTTAACAGAGATCATCCACACAGCTTCACACTACACGAGTTCCTAAAAGTGCAGCTTATGAATAGCCACAGCACAACAAAACGTTGGGTACCTTTATGTATACTTGAATAAATTAATGTTTTGGCATAGTATGATCTTTTAGAGTTGGCTATGGATTTGCACTGCCATTGATGCTTGTGTATCTCAGCTCTTTTGTTACATTACCATATATCAGGGGTGTTGAACTCCGGTCCTCGAGGGCCGCAATCCTGCAAGTTTTAGATGTTTCCCTCTTCCTGATTCAATCGATCAGCTCATCATCAAGCTCTGCAGAAGCCTTATAACGATCCTGATCATTTGAATCAGGTGTGTTGGAAGAGGGAAGCATCTAAAACTTGCAGGATTGCGGCCCTCGAGGACCGGAGTTCGACACCCCTGCCATATATGTACATCTAGACTGCTAGAAAAATGTTATTTTGCAAACTTTATGCTTCTTGAGGAACAAAACACAAGTATTTTTACATTGAACTGAAGCGAGGCTGCTTAAATGAAAGAGAATAGATGGTTACCTTTTTATTCACTTCTGCTATGGCGAGCTGCAGCACCATCAGCATGCCATCAGCCCCGTGAATGGTGGTTCTCTCGGATTGTAAAACCCTGTGGCACTCTCTCCTGAAGGTTTTCACCATCAGCTTGAGACGGTCTCTTAAGGCCTCCATTATTTTCTGAAACAGAAGCAACAGAAAATACTTACTTAAAAGTGCTACTCGGCTAAACATGAATCTAACTTAAAACAAAGGAAGACAGAAGAAAGACAGAAAGACATAAGTTAAATTATTTTTAAACCTTGACAAGAGCCTCTCTTTACTAACAAATATCAGGTTGCTGTAAGTAGCCAACTACAACCATAAAAACCTCAAAGGATCTAAATTAAGTACCATAAATTGGAAAGTAAATTTAAAATTAATCCATAACCATGTTTTTCTTTCCAGCTTCCTTGAAAAGAAACCCATGAGGTTTGTAAGCCTCAGTGGCAAACAGCTACTGAAATAACTTCAGATTTATTTGATCCAAAAACACACTAGTATGCCATTTTTCTGAGCTCCCACTAAATACACACAAATAATCTTACTTTTTGATTAAATAATGCAAACCTTTTGTATTGTTCCAGTCTCCTGAGCACACGTCCACGACAAACAACTGCTGTTTCAAATTTTTAAATTCCCAGTGACGTTGCTACCTCCTGGCCAATCAACTTGCAGCAAACAGCAGCGGCGACTGTCTAAGAGTCGAAGTATTTTTTAGTCACACAATGTTGATTTTTTTAAATAGCAGAAGACTAGAGGGGGTTGTTAAGGTTATATAAACTAGTTTATTTCAATTATGTGTGCGTATATGGTTTAAATGGTTTCGATGTTTTCGTTTACGTTGGTCAGAATCCCCCCGACTATTCCACTTCATGGTACATTCTGTGTCGTACCCGGAAAGAGATTAAAAACATCTGAAACGCGCGCAGCATTTGATTCAGCGAATTCACAGAAAATAAGGTGGTAAAATATATCAGTAATTACTATATTCTGAATCGGAGTAGGCTCTCAGCAGTGAGGAGTAGTTGTTACGTTGTCACGCTGAGCGCTGAATGGTTAAAACGGGCGAGATAAACTTTTGTTTGGCTAAATGCTAGCTAGCAGGACTCCCATATGTGTCTTGCAGCACTCACGTTTTAGCTCTTTGCCTGGAGACATGTTGCCGGTACGTGTCGTTTCATGTACACCGGAGCTGTGAATGTACCGTTAGCTCACATAAGATATCGCTCATAGTATTTATATCTCATTTTGTACCGAAATAGCCTGTATAGGAGGGATTCTCTTGTAACCTGGTGAGAAAAGCTCACCACAGTATCGTATAATAAACTCGCCATCTGTGTTTCACTAGAATATCAATATCTCTGTTATTTTGGTCAATATCTAAATATACCTCTTGACTTTTTGTGTGTGTGTGCTAGCCGAATTTTAGAATGGCCAATATAGTTTGGTAAGAAAAACCCTCACTGCGTCTCACTTACTGTGCACACGCCTGTACCCACAAGGATGTGTAGAATAAACAAATATCTGAATGAAGTTTGGTTTTAAGGTTCTGTACAAGCATCGACTAAAATGAGATGCGTGCTTTGCTTCAGAGTCTGATTTAAGTGTCCAATTGTGCTATTTTGCGGTGAAGGAATCATTTTATCTGTTACAGATAGTATTTTTTTTTTTTTTAATATGTGCTTAAACAAATGAATAGGTTTAGTTCATTTGAATATTCTTTATCTTACTTTCTAATTGCAGGATACGCGCTCATAACTTCCCACAACCACATTTTCATTTCTCTATCAGTAGTATTTGAGGTGATGCTAGGAGAGACGGACCATGTGTGCATTTTTTTGTGATATTGATCAATTGAAACGGTTTATGAGTAAAATTACCACACATGAATGTTTATTCTGGCAAATCCAGCTAATTGATGAGCTGACTAAAGGCACTTCAATAGAAAAATCGAATTTCTTATACAGCCAAAGAAAAAAAAGGAGTTCTTAACATGCTTGATATGGCAAAGTTTCTGGCATCTGTCAGATTTATGTCGTGTATTATGTTGCAGCTGTTTCTCTTTCAAAGTAATAAATAACACTTTTTTGTTGATCATACTAAACATTTGATTAAAATGTTGTCTGTTCTTTATTCTTCTGATGTGTTACAGTCGAAGCCCTGAACTACAGCCAGCTTAACCACTACACACAACATGCAGGAAGACTCCAGCCGCAGTCCCAGCTACACGGTGGCATGTGAGGACTATGTTCATGTGGTGGAATTCAGTCCTTTCAGCTCTGGTACCCCTGCTTCTCTCCTGGCCTATGGTGGAAACCAGTATGTGGTAGTGGGAACCTGCCTGTTCCAGGTTAGAGATAATACATGACACAGTCTGGTTTACTGATCACACAGTGTATTCTATATTATCTGAACATAAACGTTGTCCCACAGGAGGAGGATGTGGAGATCGAGGGAGTTGAATTCAATGTTCTTCGAGCCTTTCATCATGAATTGCGTGTTGATGCTCTTGCCTGGAGCCCTGAGTCCCGGCTCGACAGGATACCCACTATCAGGTAGTGTTACACTTTTCAGCCCATACCTTCATCCAGAACCTTTTGCCATAATTATATGATGCGTGGTGATGGGTAGTAGAACACTATATTCATCATAAAATAGGACTGATGGTTTGAAGAACATGAAGAGTTTCTTATGTGTTCCACGGAGGGTATATATACAGTGACGCACATTTCCATGTGCTAGTGCACACTTAGGGGTTATTTTTACTCTAAGATCAACCATAGGAACACTCGGGCTACAACTAAGAAGACATTTTATTGTACTAATTCTCTGTGTGTTTTTTTGTCTGTGGTCCTAAATGCCATGCTTTTCAGCTGGCAGTTCATTTTCAGGTGTTTTTTTTTAATGCACTAAACAATGAATGGTTGAATCAAATTAACTGATGCTTTCTGTGCTTATCACCTCTAAGTGTTAAGTGCAAAATATTGACAACACAGAGGTTTACAGGATGTCCACTGTGACTGATTATCAGTCTAGAGCGAGTTGTAGTTGACTCTGATTCTCCGAACTGGAAGAAAAAAAAATACATTGATAAATCGTATTAAAATGGTTTGTTTGGACAGTTATAAATCTACAATTTAATACTGAGACTTACATGAGTTACTACAGTCTGTAAATATTTGGACATTTATACTAATTTTGTGTTTTTTACACCACCACAGAGGATTTGAAATGAAGCGATTAAGATTTGATTGCAGCCTAGACTTTCAGATATAATTCACAAGATTTAACAAAAACACTGCATTCGCTGTTTATGGATGTTTGTTTTGTTTAGGGACATTTTGACGTAGTCCCTACATCTCCACAGGTTCAAAGTAACTGGACAATTGATTGATAAGCAGCTTCATGTCCAGGTGTGGCCTGTTTCCTTGTTAATTCCAGGCAAGGTGATTAAAAAGTCATGAATTTTCATGGAGTTCATGGGATCTCTCAATATGTTTTATAAAGTGGTGTCAGTGCACGTGAAGAAAACTGAAAAATGACAAATCAGACCTATACGAAAGATAGCAGAAACTTTAGGAGTGACAAAATCAACAATTTGATACCTTCTTAAACAGAGGGAGTGCACTGGTGAGCTCAGCAGCAGCAAAAACCCTGAAAGCATAGAAGGCAATGAAAGTGGATGACTGCAAAATACTTTACTTGTTGAGAAAAGTCCTTCACAGCATCAAGCCCAGTCAATAACACTATCTAAGATGGATGCGTGTCATTGTCACCGTCTACAATCGTAAGTAGACGGAGAGTTTACATTAAGATACAAACCAGTGGTAACAGTCAAGAACAGAAAGTCCACATTAGACTATTCAAGAAAACATAAACATCCTGAAAAGCTTCTTAGGACGGATGAATTAAGATGAACTTGTAGAAGAATGGTGGGAAGACTGAAGAGAAGAGAATGGAAGGAAGCGTTCATGATCAAGAACAAACCACATCATCTGTCAAACACGGTGGAGGCAGCATCATGGCATGTGTCACTGACAGTTGAACTGGATCAGTGGTGTTTATTGATGACGTGGTTGCTGATTGACGGAGCAGGAGGAGTTTTGACGTGAATAGAGCTATATTTTCTGCTCAGATTTAGTGAAAGGTTTCAAAACTTATAGGGCAGCGCTGAACTGTACAGATGGATAATGACCCAAAACATACATTGAAGACAACCTAGAAACCTCTTAAATGACTCAGGTCAGTCACCTGCTAAACATCCCAAGGGAAGAAACTCAGCCTTTATTGACATCCATGTGTCCCAGACTTCACAAGATCATTGACTGCAAACGAGTTGCATCTGAGTAATGAAAGGTCCCATATGGGAAGAATTCTTTTGATTGTGCTTTGTATTTGTTATGAACCTGGAGGTGTAAAGGAAAAAATGTTAAGCGGTAAAGACATTTGAAAGACACATTCTGGGGACATGTGAGATTTTTTATTAACTTGCTAAAAGGCTGCACAATGTGGAACCTTTAAAAATAATCCTTATATTTATGATTATTTTTGTTTGTCCAGTTACTTCTGAGCCTGTGAAGATGAACAGACTGTGTAAAAACATGGCTGTAATTCCATTTAACAGCTAAGTCTACACTTCAGCCACGTCTTGATTGCTTGATTTCAAATCCAATGTGGCGGCTTTCAGAGGCTAAACAATGACAATTGTGTCACTGTCCAGATACCTGTGGACCAGACTGTATATATGGGAGTTCATGTCTGCTCCATCCTAACTATCTGCTGGCATATTTTATAATTAATTATCGGCTTAGTGAATGACCTCGCTTAACGGGCTGTTTTTAATAAAAGATGTGTGTTTATTGTGGAACATCTGCAGCTCAAGTGCCTCTTGTTACATAAAAGGTCATCAGACTGCAGGATTAGAAAGTATCAAGCCATGCTTCACTACCACATTAGAAACCTGCTATCTATGTCTTTTAACACAACAGGATCATTATTCCGTCTGGTAAAGAACAAGATACAGTTGTAGTGAAAGCCCAGCAGTGAAAGTAGGCATCATCGCTTCTCACTGTCACACTGCAGCTGCCAGGGTGTGAGCCAAGTTGTTTCAGGTGGCTTTGGACAGGAGGAAA